ATAAAACATTGAGTTCGAAAGAAGAAAAGAAAAAGAAAGAAAAAGCTTATTCGGCTTCGTCGATCCTTTCTTCCCGGGCTTTCTCCCTCGTTTTGCTCGTGTTTCTAGCCTCCAAAGCTCTCCAAAGATCTGAAAATTAGGTTCTAGCCCTCTCAAAAACGTGTCCAAGTGTCTCTTAAATAGATGTGGTCGAGTCCTAGTCGAAATAGGTCGAAAATACCGAAAAAATAGGAAAAACGCGTAAAACGCGTATGGGAACCGTCCAGACTCACACGACTCGTGTCATGGGACACACGAGTCGTGTGAAAATGCCGAGAGCTCGATTTGGACCCCTTTCACGCGACACGACTCGTGTCTCGAGGTCACACGACCCGTGTGACGCTTATGCGGCCAAAACAGCTCAAAATCTGATTCTCAACGCAGCTCGTGACTCCTGTTCTATATTCCGGCGTCTTAGTCAGCTTCTGGTGGTCTTACGACTTACAGGTCGTCGTGCGTGGCGAGTTCCGGCCATATTCCGGCGACATTAGATTCTCGACGGTTGCACAGCCCCTCATAGGGTCTTCTCTGGTGGTCTTCTTGCACGTACAGGTGGCCGGAACGTCAGAAAACTGGATCTTCAGTGGCTGGTCATCCTCGTTGCGAGCGGTGCAGCTTTGTTCATGGCGGACGGATGGTGATACGTGAGCTAGTTGAGGAAGATGATAAGTTTTGATGAAAGACCATTCTGCCCTTTGTTTAAATAGCTTGTGGGCTGATTTTTGTAACCTTCCAATTGGGCCCATAACTCGGGCCACTATCTTTATTATGCCCAACAATGCATTTTCTGATATATCTTTTTACGGGTCGTGTACTTGGTCTTGTCCCAAGCATGACTTGCACTCCTTTTATGTTCGTTTGTCGCCATTTTCGACTCCAATAAATTATTTCGACCCTGTTTCCTGCTAAAACTCAAATAAAACACCTCGTCATAGCTTAATAAAATTAATTAAATAAATAATTAATTATATAATAATTAATTAAACAATAACTAATTATATATCAAACTACGACGAAACGGACACGAAAATCACTATAAAATGCACGTAAATATGACGCATGTCAACATTATATCTAAGATTGAGCTTGAACATTATTATATTTTTTAATAAGTGGCTTTCTTCTATTGTCAATCAATTTCACATTAAGCAATGTTTATCTATATACCTTAAC